TTTTCGCACAAATATTTTTTAACTTGAAAATGGTGCCAGGATGACACCGAAACGTCGTTGCTCAGTTTTTTCGCTAATCTTTATTGTAAACTGGATTAGAAGGCAAAAATCACACCACTGAGTCACCTTGTGGAGAAAAGGTGAAGCTTAAGAGAAATCTGAGTACTGAGATTGAAAGTTGCCATTTGCAAATCTAGCCATATTAAATTAATAAACAAATACAATAATACTTCCCCTTGTAGTTATACGAAGCATCCCACTTTGTGTATGCCACACAAAAATTAATAAGACACATAAGTATAATTTCCAGAGGTGAATATAAGAATTGGACCTTCTGACTGGTCGAAAAGCTCATCATATGACGCTATGTTCACCCCGCTGGAGCTTGTTTACTACGCTCACCATCTTTGCCATCTCAGCAAGTAAACATGGTGGACAGTTGCTGAATGAAGTTTTCATTTATTTGAAAGACGTCACTCCAAGTCCAGGATATTTGAAAGGATGGAGAATTTTCAAAATGACTGCTGTCACCCTTGGACCAAAAATCTTTTCAAGAACTCGTATTCAAGGCTTTTAAGAATTGTAAATGCAGTGGTTGCTTCGATCGCCAGCAGGTCAGATCAGTTGATCGAAATTTATTTTTCATCAAACTAAAGCTACTCATTTTTAGGCGATGAGGACAACTGTGAATGAAGTCAACAACAATAAAACAAGGGTACCGGGTGAATTCATTTTTCGTAGTGTTTCCCTTGTTTGTTTTACTACCGAACTCAATGAGTAAATTGATTGACAATCGATGTACACATAAGCTTATTATTAAAACTACAGCTGCGTATGTGTACGCACACGAACAATTGTGTCTGTGTTTTTATGTTTTAGTCTGTTACTTTGTAGTCCTTGATATTCACCTCTGAAAATTATACTAAAACAATTTTTCGCTTCAGGCTCAGTGAACATTGGTGAATATTCACCTCGACTTTGTCTCAGTGAATATTCACCAATGTTCACTTTGCCTTTGGCAAATAATTGTTAAATATTACTGATGTTTATAAATGCAGTGTTGGATAAATTCAGTCTTAGTGAGTTCAGAAAATTTGGTTTAGGTTCAAGATCACAAAAGGCTTCTGTTATCAAATTTCTCTGGCTTCCACTGACAGCAAAAATGGTACTGCATGTACATTTATACCCAAATATTTTTTATTGTGGCTACCCTGCAGAAACCAAATCCCATTATTATCTAGTCCGTTCTACTTAGCTATTCTGACCACTTAACAGAGCAGCAACAGAGATTACAAGGCATGCACCAAATTCTGACGCCAGGTTGAAATGAAAAGCGTATTATTGTATCAGCCAGTCTGAATGTCCAAGATATAAGATGACTATACATGGCTTTGCACTGAAATAACTTTAAGTGGACTTAGTATTGAATATCTATCCCACATATGTAATATATAAATTACTGTTTTGTGATTGATTGATTAATTACATGTAGGCTTGATCAAACCATCTGAAAGTTTTTCTCTTACCAATAAAGAGGAAACCGTTTTTTTTTTGTTTTTTTTTTAATTTTAATGGAAAACAATATTAGACACAACACAGGTGTATGTAGTGTATGCACATAAATTAAATTTAACACTTAGCAGTTCTATTGTTTTTAGCCTTTTAGCATTTTAACCACCAGACAGAGTGGTAGATTAGTGAAGCCAAAACATACCGATGTCATTTACATTAAGTCGCATTAGTGAATACTGATCAATACTGATTCAAGTGAAGTGGACAGTAAATGACAATAACGTTATGACCAATACAGATAGATATTGACTAATCTTAGCTGTAAATGTCATAACATGAAATATGAACCATATATGATATGGCAGTGAAAAGCGATAAATATAAACTTGCTGAATCATTACATGGTGTTATTGATCACAAAATATGGTCAAAGCAGAACTGCAATATTCATGTGGTTCAAATTGAGAGTAATGTGAAACCAGGAATGTCATGTTAGCAATGTATTCAAAGTGAAGACATTTCCTTTCCTTTCAGTCAGTGTGTGTACTTGTTTTTGTTTATCCATGGCTTTCTGTTTGTTTGTTTATTTGTTGTTTCTTTTAAAAAGATCCAGTGGCTTTCTCCCTAGCTAAAAAAAGAAACAATATCATTTTCAAATGCCAAAATGATAAAATCTCATTTGGAAGATACAAGAACCCATGCCAGACAGATAACTTAAGTTAAGTGTACACTTGTATGGCTCTGGCCTATAAGCAAAATAAGCCTTATCCGCGAAGAGGAGAAGAGTTTCGAATTTAGCCAGAGCAATACACATAGTATCACAAATTACAATAAACAGACCGTTTATGCCACGCGACGTAAGTAAATTATTGAATTCCACTCCAGTAATGTTTAGAAACAGAAATTATAAGCAATCTAAGGCACAAGGCCACTCTCGAACAGCGTGAGAAATGATAACAGCAGGAATCTTGTGCGAAAGCAATATTGACAGATGGAAAACCTTTTAAAACCTTATTGTCAAATAGAAAGTAAGTAATACATATATTTGCACAAATGACAACAAAATGCACTTTCGCTCGAATACGTATAAGCTTTAGTTCAAATGTCAATCAAAGCCACAAAATATAATCCTGCAGGCAGAAACAGCAGTTGAAATGATAATTGCACTCACGCAAATCTTAAGCAACACACAGGAAGCTTTGGAGAATGTAATCAGGAAAGATCTCATGTCACAATGATTGGCAATAGTTTTCCTTCAGCGTAGTTCAGTTAACTCGTTTAATACGCATATCTTAAATATTTATCGTAATGCCAGCTAATCGAATAAACGCACAACTCGAGTGAAGTTTTACCGTGCGTCCAGACGGATCAACAAAGCTTCGATCAAAGTAGCTTGGAGATCGAAAATCATATCAAACGATGTAATGAAATATTCAAGAAGCCGAGACGAACAAAAACTGAGCAATTAGCAATGTTTTGAATATAAACGTCTAGCACTGCGCCATGGCAGCTGGCAAAATGTAAATCACTTCCAAACTGACTTCAAGCCAACAAACTGATCAATTTCTGTTTGTCGACAATTGAAGACCAAAATCATTACAACTGATTTCTCTTGAAAAGCCAGCATTAAATAAGACAAGTAATCATAAAAGGCACAAAAGATATAATGAACAATTTATATCAAAAACTATGCCCAAAATGAGAGAGGAGAGCATACTCACAAATGAAATCATGGATATGTTAAAAGCTGCCGCGTTCCTTGCCGCGGTGTGACAATTGCATCCCGGTCCTATGAAAGCTTGTACTCCAGAATTAATTTGATTTAACTGCTCGTGGACAGCAATCAGTTCGTTGCATTTTGTGTCTTCCCATACAAATGTAACATTGTAGTCAGCCAAAAGCGTTGGGTCCGCGTTTAATCTTTCCACTGCAATTGTCATCGCTGCGGCAAAATTTTCTCCCTTGTTGAAGTCGTCCGAGAAATGCGGCACCACAGTTGAATACGGTATCAGAAGGCCTAACTTGTACTCGCGTTTTTCCGCCAAAGCTAAGTAGTTTATCATTAAAGAAAAAACAATAAGTACTGCAGTGGACGCCATAATACTTGTCAACACACTCATATACTGCCTGGTATTGCACGGGTTTGGAAGCGAGTGCGGCTAAACGAGGACTATCGCAGATGGAATCGCCAAACGATACATTAAGCGTATAATCTAATGTTTTGACCCGTCGATGAAACGCTCAATAACCCGTCGAGCTATTATACCCTTCCAAATGATCGATTGCTAGCCCAAGGTCGAGTCTTTTGCCAAGTTCCAAGCACAGATTCTTTTGTAAATGCGATGTTTACCACCAGTTCAAGACACAACAACATGGACGAGCAGCGACGCAAGCGGTGTGGTCCCGGCCGAAGTTTGGCAAATCATATCTCCCCTTTTCCGTATTTCCATATTTCAGAGTGGCGCTGCTGTTCGAAAGGGCGGCGTAGAACTATCTGATTGACTTGTCAGAGAGTTACGGTTCACTGTCTGTGTCAGGCGTTCAGGCTCATTTGAAAGGCATCCAGGTTGTAGAAACTCATGAATAATACAAACTTGGCTTCGCTAGCTACGCTGCTAGCTAGCAACAAGACAACGAGGGCTGCCAATTTTCTCCAGCTATACAGCTTTGGGACACCAACAGGATCGAAACAAGGTAAAGTTCTTGCTACCTAAAGAAAGAAAAAGTACGGCCACATTAAAGCAAACGGACAAGTTAAGATGTGTTGAAACCTGTCAATACCCGAATCCCTTGGGAGCCGAAACGATGGACACTTCGTTACGTAAACACCAAGAAACAAAGAAACGAGATTACACTTGGACTTTGAAAATTTGCGAGCGAAATGCCGTCAAAATCCGGTCAAAAGCGGCAAAAATAACAGTTTGTTTTTCTTAAAAAACATACCATTTTCTTTCATAAAGAATTCACTGGTTCGATTACGCAATGCAAATCTGATCAACCCCTTAACAGACCAAACAGGACAACCTATAACCCATGTCTGTAGGATTCGTATCATTTCCTAAACTAATAATCTTGAGTGTCGAGGTCAGGAGAAAAATATTTTCTTCCTTACACCTTTTTTTAGCTTCATTCGCCAAGAAAATGTTGTTTCCGCTTTAAAAAATTCATGTATTTTTTTTACCTTTTTTCCTCACAGCGAGAGCCTTTGAAGTCCACGGGACTGCGAAATTTTTCCGCGTGAACAATCCGCAATCGTCTCGCGTTTTTTTTTTTTTTTTGAAGCAGACGAAAACATACAACTAATTTTTTGCCATTAACGCAGGGAAAACGCTTATGTGAGCTAGTGAAATCCAATTATCACTGTAATCGAGCGAAAGAAAGGAAGAAAAAGGACCTATTTAAATGAAATTCTCTAAAATACACGAATTCTTAAAACCATTGTGCTCGCGGTATGTTTTCCACAGCGGGAAACACTAAACAGAGAACATTAAAGTTTCCATATTTTAAATTGATATGATTTCCTGTGAACCCGTATTTCGTTATTATATTTTATATACTCATAAAAATTCTAAATTTAACTTGACCTTTTGGTCTGTCGATGAAAGTTCCATCAATGAGGAAAAAACGAAATGCAAATTTGCAATTGTCCGATTTTTTAAGATCTGACGTCTCGCAATTTCCTTTCTTTCCTGTAGGTGCTTATATCTTCAAGATAATGGGCACAAAGTAATGATTTAAAGTTATTAAGGTGAACAGAATATATTAGCATTGCACAGTGTTTATTAATAATACTATGGCGAGTAGAACTTCCAGAATTTTTCACCTTTGAGATGACTGATGGGGGCGGCCTCAACAGAAGCTCTCTCGAACACGGTGTTCTCCCATGATCAGCTCTCGGTTACTGTAAAAAGCGCTGACGGTAACTTAAAAAGTAATTTGTACAGACCACCCGGGTAGCTCGTTTTCGGTCAGCGAAATCTCCATAGGTTTCTTTGCCGACCAACTTGAGGCTGGATTCGAATGGTGCCTGTTAGAGGTTTACAACACGGAGTCCCGGCAAAATTCACTACCTTACTTATCCTGTTGTGACGAGTATTAATTTTTTTGTTACATGTTGTAAATCACTGAGAAACTCACGAGATGGTTTCTAGTGCGATGCTTGATCTTTCATTGTTCAATGTGTGGTCCTGTTTATATAGCCAGTGAAGTTAGGCTTTTTAATAAAGGTGATCGACAAACAAAGCTTTTTCAAATCGCGCTTACTTGGTTTCAGTCAATTCGGCGTAAAAAGCTAACTAGCGGCAAGCTTAGTTAAGAAACAAATTGTACACGGGACCACTGTGCTACGAAAACATCGTTGAAACTTGTACATCACTATTTTGCGGAGACGCACTATATTTAGTCCTTGCGGCCCGTGGGCAAATGTGACATTAAAATGCTCGGGATGAACTACTTTAAACGCTTTTCCGGCTGGTAAACTAGTAAATCTCCGTTGATGAATAAATTGCTCCCTTACAGTCCAGTTTCTTTGCGTAAAATTCGTCAAAACGTTAACCCGTGACCGTTCATCTGGTGAAACGCAAGTCTGAGCTACAAATCACGGACGAACGAAAAACATTTATTAAACTTTCGTTTTCTACTCAAGAGGACTCCGTTGCCTTTCACAGCCGCCTTCCAGGCCATCGATCAAGTGTTCTTTCATTCAAGGTCGATCAAGAGAGTCATTTCAATATTTCTCCAGCTTGTACGAATTGGATTTGAAACTGAATCTATGACGCCCTTTTGCCGGCATTTCAGATGACCATGTCTTGCTATGACAGAAGCCAAGTTGTAACTAATTGTGGTTTCTTGTAATTTTGGCAACTGCTGGGAAAGAAAAAACTCATTGCCGATTTAAAGAAGAAAGGCGCTAGAACATTGAAACACAGTGGGTAGCGAAATTACACTTGCCAAAATACAGTCCAACGACTCCGTGCGCGCTAAGTCCTTGTAAACTTCACTCATAACATCAATCAGTTTGTATCTATTTTCGATGTTGTTTCCAGCATTTCTATTCAATCAGCGGCTTCCCAAATAGCCGCGCGAAACAAAATAAAAATTACTGTTTAGAACTTATTTTCTATATATACGCCATGCATGATCCACAAAAAGAAACGTATTTGATGCCAATTGGTTACAGAACGAAAACGCCGGCTCTCACAAAAGCGAAATTTATTAACGAGAACATAGATCTGAATCAAAACCCTTAACCGAGACGCTTTTTCATTAAGACATAGCAATATTCCGAAGCGATAATAAATCATAGCGACCTGTAATTCAACCCTTGAATTTAGATGTGATAAACATTTCAGTGATAAAATACGATCTTAATTTGATGCAACAGCCTCAGGCATAATTTGCATTTTTGTTTTTCACATGTCAGAAGAAAATCAACATTTTGAAGTACTTTTTTGGCAAATAAAAGAGACCGGCTTTTCAATCTTGCTTTAATGGCGGTCAAGGGGACGATCATGTCGCTGAAAATGCGAGAAGTTTATAATTTTAACCCGGAAGAATTAAAATGAAAATACCCCGAAATTCAAATGTAAAGACGGCGCGTTGAAAGATTTTAGGAATACACTTAACGTAATAAACAAGTTCCGATCAGTTTTTCCTCCCAGCATTAAGTTGGAGTGCGTCTAAAACCACATGAAAATCTCCTTTTTTTTCTTCAAAGCATCTCTGGATTCGATCAATTCGTTCGCTCAGGCGCTTGATTTCAGACCCGGAGGAAGAAAGTAGTGTCAAAGGTAGCCGAATCTGGATTGTTACTCACTTCGAGTTACTTTATGCGTAACATTTGACAAACATTACGCACTCTGGACAGATGGACATCACTGATACAGCCATTTTCGAATGTTAGCCAAAATCGGAGAACGATTCGCGGATATCAAAACATCATTACTAAAAGGCGAACGATCGGTTGGCCTTGAAAACTACTCTCTTCTCTATTAGAAATTCTTAAATAAGCGGCTGCCAATTTCTTTTCGACAGCAATTGTGAGAAACAAGATTTAAAACTGTACGCACTTTGTGAGGTAATTGAAAGTGTAACTTTTCACAGACAGCGAGCCCGAAGTTGTTACTAAATCCGAATCCTCACCTGGTATGGCTTCCCCGCTGGCAATGAAATTCGATGGAGCGGCGCGGAAGAAGCCGTGAAGATTACAAAGAACAGCGTTCGATTATGCCGCGTTCTTGTATAGTGCTGCTGTGTTTCCTAGTACCCGAAGGTCGGCACGGATGAGATCAATATATAATTACCTGTTGTCTGGAACATCTGCCTGCAGCATTCGATCGATCGGCACTGGTTTGCACGCCACATGAATTTACATTATAACAGTGCGCGCGACTTTGCCTCTGGTTCACTGGCGTAATCTAATTTAACGATTACGGCCAATTAAAGAGCGATTCATGCTGTCATGATTGACAACTGTCAATTATCATCCCGCTCTGGGTTGCACGAAGAACTGTAAGCTGCATGGTACACTAGTTTGTACAGTATCAACGTTTCGTACAAGTGGTAAAATTTGCTTTTTGGAAGGATAAAATTTTTGCTGTGTGTTATCTCCTTTCCGATCTCGACCATCCTATGATTAGAATTGTACAAAGGAGATGAAAGTTTCGTGGGTCGTAGCGCGTACAATAACAATCAGCAGATAAATTAACAAGCTTTGCATTGATTCGCTGATTTGCTTATTCTTTTTTAACAACTGCGAGTTTAGATAACAACAGTCATCGAGTTCATTAACACACTCCATACTGTCGGTAGAAACAGTCAAACTTTAAACACACAACGCCGCTCGCATCTCTACGAAAGCAGTTTTCCCCCGAATTGTGCTACACGCAGTGATATTTCTCAGTCCTGCGTTTTATTCCAAACCAGTAAACTAATTGTCGATTGATGTCTTACAAACTAATTTAAGTGTTTCATAAGTATTAGACACGATTCACGCTGCGCGTAAAATGTAAACTTTCTAACATCAATGATAATGTGTTCAGCCGCACAGACGGTTTGTAACAGCTGAGAACAGAAAACTAAACTGGCTGAAGACCGTACAAAGGGAGACAATAGTGACTTTGTAATGTTTGCTCTTCAGTTAGAAAAGACTTCAGATGGTTAAATATTAAAACCAGTTGGCAGTCTGCCATTCCAAACACGAAATAAACACGCGTATACGGTATTCACAGTTGGTTTACAAGTAACCTGCGACCAGACGAGCTCTTTTTCGAAAAATTTCGCCTGATAACACGATTATCTTGCAAGTAAAGCAATAGCTAACTCTCAACGGTATCTATAAGCGTGTAAGACGAAATACTGTACAGGTCGTTCACTGGCGTTTAGAATTAATAATTGATCGTTTACAAAAATTTGGGAAACTGTTATAACATATAAACATCCGACACGCCGCGCCGACAAATATTCCCAGCCTGCATGTTTCATGGAAGATATATTTGGAAGAAAATTTTCCTTCCATTTTTTTGCTACGCGGAACGGTAATTCCGGTATTTTGGTGGATGACCGATGATGCATTTTATAAGAATTTCTTCATTGATATAGCATTGATATATTGATATATATATTGAAACGTTCTTGACCGAAGAAATCGCCAGTTTGAATCAAACTCGTTCGCGAAAACTTTTACAGGTATGCCCTTGGAGTAATTTGCGC